ATCAAAGGTGGTTAACATGATCATTTCATTGAAATAATATTAAACCAATTAAGGCAACTAGACCTCTTGGGGTATTCGGACATTTAGAAACATAGATTATTGATACCTGAATGTCATGTCTACTAATTTGATTTTCACAAAGCATAAAAAATTTCCTCCTTCAGAAGACAGTGCAGACTTTGTTTCAAACACAACCAGATACTGGTATCTCGCACCCACTCAATCCTAAGGTAAATATCACATTTAGCATCCTCTACACTCCCCACCTTACCCTACACTATGGGCTCCTTCCAAGACGTTTTATCCTAAATCTGACTGAGAGATTCCAGGATGGAAGACTTCCGAGGCAGGAGAAACAGCTATTCCCAGTTTACCAGTATCTAAAGCACAGAATGTGAGTACCCGTCAAGTGCCTCTGGTGGAATCACCCGTCCATCGACATTTGAACTCAGACTCTCCCCTGCTTCCCCTCCCCTGCTCAGTTCAAATTACTAGACTGTCTCCTTCTGAAAGCAGCAAATCCCCAGACATCTCTACAAACTCTCTGAGGTTACAAAACACAGACCACGGAGGTCAAATAAGTCTATTCCTTCTACACACCTTCTCCCCTGGGAAGTCCTTTTTCTCTTTCAACAAGTGGTCAGGGCTTTACTAGGCAAAGGCAGACGGGTTATACGTGCCATGGACAATTCTTTGCTGTTTTCTTCAAATATTTAGTAGTGATAGCGTTATACATCTCTGACAGTATTTTTCATATTTTCACATATAAATATGAGTCTACAGATTGTAGACTCGTACCACAAGGCCACGGTTCTTGATTTCTGCAATAGCCACTGCCGCTATGAGATAATGACAGCTTCAGTTTCACATCTACTTACTCGGTTTTAGTGTTGCAGTTATCTACTTATATCTTGTTCAGAATCAAGTAGCTAATAATTGGTAGAACTTAGTTTAAACCCAGGTCTGTGGGACTGTATGCCAATGTTCTTGCCTACTGCTATATGGAGTTGCTAATATGTCACACTATCATGAATGCATGTGTGTGCATATTTGTGTATATTATATTTATATATGTTGTATGTATGCAAGTATGAACATATTCATGTACTGTTTCATTCTGTCCTACTAAGCAGTTTAGAGTTTTTAATGTGCCCTGAATAATTTCTGATTTAGAAAGTGACTATATACATGAGAGTAATGTCTGGTACAAAGTCAATGACAAGGCTTAAGTGTGTTCTCTGGATGATCGAAGACCCCATCTTTCTAGCAATTATCAAGCTATTGGACCCATGTGTACTAGTTTTTCAAAAGCCTGGAATAAAAGGAATGTTGTCTATGAATATTTGCTGTACAACATTTATACATTATTGTCATATATTCTGCATTGTCAGCTGATTGCCTGGAAACATATCTTGTGATTAACTAAAATGATTAAACCATATTCTTCAGGAGGCACTTGATTTCAATGTGTTTATTGAAATTATTTTAAGTTGGAAAAGGAAATAGTATTTGAAGATTGTCTACTGAGAAATCAAACAAAACTCACTCAAGTTCTGTTTCTTTCCATCCAGTCTCTTTGTATGATACAAAACAAAGTCCACAGTGACCAAAACAGCGACAGTCATGCTGGCAGCATGGAAAATGTCATCAGAACTCTATCATGTCAATTCCACATGCTTTAACAGGCACTGCTGTAAGTAAGGCTCATTGTGGGAGGAGTGATTGTTAAACTCTCCCTGATAAAGTGATGCATTCCAGAAGAAAATGAATCCTAATTAAATAGAAATTAATTTCCTTTTCCACCTAACTCACTGAAAAGCAAAAACCCTGCTAGAAAAGTTTAGTGTGGTAACCCATTTTTGACACAGCAATTACCTCAGTTTCATAGGATATATTTTTCTTTTGCTCACAAATACTAAAAGAACCACTTCAAAACCTTTAGCATATGCATTAAATTCATATCTTTATGTTTAAGAATTTCTCAGATAGATTTACACAAACTACATTAGCAAAAACAACAAAACTTAAGTGTACTAGAGTTTTATTTAATACTCAAAGTATCTTGAACCGATTTACACAAATATGCATTAAAGAAAATGTACAGTCCTTAGTTTAACATCTGAAGTATCATATAGGAGACTTACAACATTATTTTTTATTTATTTAGAGATATATTTTTGATTAACAATACATTCCAGCTACAACTAGTACATCAACAGAGGAATCATGAAATCTTGTACACAAAACATTATAATTCAAATTAAATCCATTAAAGTTTAAATTATATGAAAATATATCATCTAAGAACAACAAGAGATTAAAATTATAGCTCTAAGCTCTAATTATGAAGTCTTTTTAATACTTATTTAAATTTCATAGATAACTAACACTAAATGTCACTGGAAAAATGTACAGATCACTGAAATATTAATTGGAAGGATATAGTAACTCTTAAGATTAAAATAGGGCCTCCCCTGGTGGCGCAGTGGTTGAGCGCTGGGCTGCGAGGCTGCCCGCAGCCTCTGCAGCGGCGGTTGGTTCCCTGGCCGCCGGCGAGGGTCCCACCAAAAAAAAATCAAAGAAACAAAAAAAAAGATTAAAATAAATATAAGAAAAACACACTAAAAATTTAAAAAGTTCAAGGGCCTCCCCGGTGGCGCAGCGGTTGAGCGCTGGGTTGCGAAGCTGCCCGCTGCCTCTGCGGCGCCAGTTCGATCCCCGGCTGCTCCCCGGCCACCAGAGGAGGGTCCCACATGGCGCACAGATCTCTCCCGCCGTCCGCTGCTCCCCTCAGCAGTGTACTTCGGTCCTTCTGGCTGTTCTGCTCCCCGCTCTGGCTCTGGTGAATTCTCTCACCCTCCCGCGCTTCTGACTGTACCCAGTGCATGTATAAACAAAACGAACAAACAAACAAATAAAAACATGCCTCTATTAAAAAATAAATAAATAAAAAATAAAAAAGAGATTATAAAAAATTTAAAAAGTTCAAATATCACATTATTTAGATTACACAGCCAATTCAGAGATTGAAAGCTTATTTTACCATGAGATCACTTATTATTTTTGTCTGGGTGTTATATAAGAGTCATTCAATATACTCCACAAACGATTATTGAATTCTATGCTCTAGGGATTGTAGTTGAATCCAAGAAATCCTGGAGATTATAACAGACATATCCTGCCCTCATAGAGCTTACAGTCTAGTAGGGCAGACAGATGAGAACTGAGACATCTTTAACAGCAACAGCTGTGTTGCGTGGGGGCCTCCCATGCTAGAGAAGGCAACATTTCAGCTGAAAGTTGTAGGTCAAAGGGGATCTGATCAGGTGAAAAGAGAAAGAGGGAGAAAGGATTCCAGGCAGAAGGGAGAGAAAAACGCAAAGACCCTGAGGTGTCAGTGAACACAGTCAATTCTACAGCAGTGATTCTGAAACAAAGAAACTCAGAAACTTGTACCAGAATGAAATTTTCATGGATCAACAAGGAAATGAAGACAGTGTGGTAGGTCTTTTCAAAGCTCAAGTCACTCAATTTTAATAAGTTTAAAGCCATCTTACATTCTGGCATTAAAATTGTCCCTCTTTCACGAAATGACTGTGATAGTAGATTATATATATTTAATTGACAACCCTGTTTGTAAACTTAGCAAAACACAAACAAGTGCTATATAAAATCTGAAAGTCTGAGACTCTCACTTCTCAAAGAATAAGTTACTAAAAGTGTTTAACATGGTTAAGAGGGATGGGGGGTGAAGGAGACATCAAAAGTTAAAGTAAAAGAGGGAAAACAGGGATTTAGATCATGAAGGACCATGTGAAAACTTTGCACTTTATCCTAAGAGAGATGGGAATGATTTCAAACAGGGAATGAAATTCTATTTATATTTGTAAACTGTCACTCTGGGATGTTATGTTTAGAATGTATATGAGATTCAGCATGACAGCCGGGAAGAAAACCAGGTAGGCAGCCCTACACTACCCCAAGAAAAAGATGGAATTAGGGCTGAATCAGTGAGGCTGAGTATAAGAAAATTGTAACTTTAAGAGATAAAATTATCAGGATTTGATGATTTGTTATATCGGGAAAGTGGGATCATCAAGGCTGATGCACATACTTTTGTGAAGAGAAATCAAATTGAAAATTTGGCTACTGAGTTAGAGAATGTAAGGGAGGAGATTGTTTTGAAGAAAGGAACTGAGTTTATGTGGGGACATGAGAATTTGAGGTGTCTTTGTGTTGAAATGTCCCTTCGGGCAACTGTCTACATAGCTGTGAAACATATTAGAGAAGGAACTAATCTTTGGATATAAATTTTGTAGTCAACAACATATACAAAATAATTGAAACCATGGTCATGAATGAAATTTCCCAGAGAACATAGCATAAGAAGAGAAGAGGGCGTTGGTCATATTACTAAAAGTTGACAGGAAAGAAACAATGTTGAAAGCAGTGAGAGAGCAGTCAGGGATGTGGGAGGAGAATCAAGAGAGCAGATTATCATGAAAACCTAGGGAAGGCCATTTCAAAGAGGCTGCTCAGGTGCTGCAGAGATCAATTGTAAGATTGAAGAATGCTCATTGAATTAGCCACCGGGAGGCGGTTAGGAGGAGAAACCAGATTACAGTGCGTGCATGTGCAGACAGGAGGGAACTCTTTTACACAGTATGGTTATAAAAGAAAGGAGAGGAGTAGGACAGAAAATGGCTGGAGATATGGGTTTGAGAAAACAGCTAGTTGTTTTATAAACACAGGAGAGATTTGTTCACAGAAATGTAGGAATCTTTTGATAGGCAGAGTTTGAAGACTTGTTGCAAGTGAAGATAATCAAAATTCAAATGCAAAATATTGACTAGCTTAAAAAAATCACATACAGGTCTTAAAAGATGTAGAGTGTTCCTGTAAGAATATACCACCCAGATATAACATCAATGGATTTAAATACAGTTAAGGATGTAAAATGATTCTAGGAAATTCTCTGATTCCAGGAAATTAGTTTTAAATTATGGAAGTTTTAGCTTTTGTCCATAGAGATCATACTGTTTAAATAAGATGTATCTTTGAACGGATGGTGGTAGAGGAAGCTTCTCCATCGAGGCTGGCTGGCAGAGTCACAGGAGTCTTGTTAAGTCTTTGAATTTTCTTTTTTTAATAGAGGCATGTTATTTATTTATTTATTTGTTTGTTTGTTTTGTTTATACATGCACTGGGTACAGTCAGAAGCACGGGAAGGTGAGAGAATTCACCAGAGCCAGAGCGGGGAGCAGAGCAGGCAGAAGGACCGAAGGACACTGCTGAGGGGAGCAGCGGGCGGCAGGAGAGGTCTGCGCACCATGTGGGACCCTCCTCTGGTGGCCGGGGAGCAGCCGGGGATCGAACCGGCGCTTCAGAGGCCGCGGGCAGCTTTGCAACCCAGCGCTCAACCGCTGCGCCACCGGGGAGGCCCAAGTCTTTGAATTTTCAAATGGTACGTATGCTTTAATGAGCAAGGATTCTCTAAAATAAATGGGTAAAACAAGCAAAAAGATAAACACAATTATTTTTTTTAATTTTTAATTTTTTTAATTTTATTTTTTATTATAAATTTTATTTTTATATTCCCCATACAATTGCGACCCCCCTATTTTGACCCCAATCCCTCCCCTCCCCGGCCCCCACCCCCCATAGAGTGTCTCTGGTTCATAGTTGTTTGTTGATTTTGATTTTTACTTTCTTATAGTTATTCTTTTTCCTGGTCCCTTATTTAAGTTTTCTAGATTCCTGGTATGAGTGAGACCATCCGGTAGTTTTCTTTTTCTTTCTGGCTTATTTCGCTGAGCATGATCCCTTCCAGTGCCATCCATGTTGCTGCAAATTGCATGTGTTAAGATAAACACAATTATTAATGGATTGACCTATAAGATACAGACAGTTCTAGAATAGCATTAATAAATGTCATTCTGATAAACAATTATGCAACATAAAAAATTATGTTAACAACTGGTGACTTTAAGTAAAATTCAAATTGTACTTAAGCATTCCAGACCATTCCTCTAAATGTGGCACCATGAAGGCAGACACTTAAGCTGTTCCTGTGTCAGGAAGAGAGTCTGATTCATAAGAGGTATTCAACTAGAATATATTAAGTGGATGGCTTGATATAAGACAACAACTGTTCACTCGCCTATTCATTTTTTTTTTTAGAATGGAGAGACATATTTCTTCTCACTACCACTAATCTTTCTGATGAATAATTATCTGGAGAACATCTCCTGCAAATGATTCCATATGTCGGTGAGTCAATCTTACATTTCATTGATACTTAAACATGTTATATTTTCCCAAAAATCCAAGACTACTCACATATCTGGTGTCAGTCTTTATCTTCAACTCAATACCACAGTTAATGACTGATATATTATTCCAGAAATACAAGCTAGTGAGGGGACAGCACCAGCACATGAGCTCAGATGTGGGCTCTGAAACTTGACATGGATTCAATTCTGACTCTGCCACTCCATGGCCCTGGACAAGTTACTTGACTTTTACCGTCTTGGTATTCTTGCCTATGAAACATGGAAACACTGGGATCTACCTCACAAGATTGTTTGGAGATCAAACATTAATTCAGGTAAACTACTGGAACGTGCTAGATACATTAAAATCATTTAATGATGTGAACTATCATTCTATTGAAGAAGAAAGAGAGACCACATTTCCTGTTACATTTGAGATATAAACATTCAAATTGTCTTTCTTAAAAACTAAAATGTTTTTCAAAAATGATTGAGGCAAAGCTATTGTCACCTAAAGAGGCAGAATTAACCCATCTTTTAAAGAAATTAACTTTTTATTTTCATTCCTAACAAATACACTGCTTGGAAGAGTACAGCTAATACTTGAAGGAATCCTGACATCCAGTGGTTAACCGTGCTCATAGCAGTCAACTATTGTAAAAATGTGTGACTGAAACTACAGAAAATTTCCTTTTATTCCTACTGAGACAATGTAGGTGCTTTAGTAGTGGGTATATGGTGGCAACATCTAAAGGGGTGCGAGATTATTCCCCTAAATTACGTACAGTGTTAAACCAATGTTAACTCAGTTTTTAAAAAAGTGTCATTTAAAAAAAAAAACTAAGGCCTCCCTGGTGGCGCAGTGGTTGAGCGCTGGGTTGCAAAGCTGCCCGCAGCCTCTGCAGTGCCGGTTCGATCCCCGGCTGCTCCCCCGCCACTGGAGGAGGGTCCCACATGGCGCGCAGACCTCTCCTGCCGCCCACTGCTCCCCTCAGCAGTGTCCTTCGGTCCTTCTGCCTGCTCTGCTCCCCGCTCTGGCTCTGGTGAATTCTCTCACCCTCCCGCTCTTCTGACTGTACCCAGTGCTTGTATAAATAAATAAATAAATCTTTAAAAACAAACAAACAAAAAAAAATCAAGTACCTTAGCACAGGAAAATAATTACTCAAAGAAAAATAGAAAGCTATAAGCAAAACCAAAACAATAACAAATGCTAGAAATCTGACTGTGGAATTGAGGCTACATGATTTGGGGAGCAAGGTAGAGAGAGGGCACAGTGGATGATGGTGAAGGACTATGGGTGCCTTAGTGAAGGGTGTGGTGTGACATGTATCTGAGGAGGTGTGACCCTATGTCTTAAATCACATAGTATTATAAACCAATGTTGCCTCAAAAACAAAAACAGGTGACAGAAAATAAAGTCATGAAATTGATCGTTTTTCCCCAGTACAAATGCATAGACAATCAGAAAGGAAGCACTGAGTGGTCAATGTAAAAAATTCATAGGGTCTAGACTGTTTTGTAATTCTCCTTAGTCTTAGTTTTTTCTTTGTAAACGCAAGCATGATAATACCTAACTCTACAAGTTGTATTTCAAGATATGTTTTACATATCCATGTCACATAAAAGATTACATAACTTTATATTACAGAATTTAACTTCATCAAAATGAATATAGTCAGAATATTAATACAGTGCTAGCATTACTCATTATACAATTTAAGAGTTGGAAAATGTCAAGAAAAGCCAAAAAAAGTTTGTATCACATAAGAAGGAATATAAAGGATGATTTAAAAAAACAGATAATTCAGAGAATAAAGCATTATTGAAAAATTATCAAAATGACATTAAGAAGCTTTATATATATATATATATATATACATACTTCATAAAAAATTTGTAGGTAAAATTGTTTTTACCTAGTATTTGATAGGTTTCTGGCCAGACTCTCTGTATTCCTCATGCAGATTTCAGTTTAGCACACAGGGATATCTATCAATATATGAATAATGCTGCCGACCAAGTGCTTCATCCAAGTAACTATAATAAACTCACAGAACTGATGAAAATTAATAAAATTTAATATAAAAGAACTTTTAATATACCCTATACATAAACACACAATTTTGTTAAGAAAAATTAATCTTTGTCTTTTTATAGAAAATGAAAGTACCTTCTTTGTAATGAACAAAAATGAAAAAAAAAATCTGCTTGCTTGTTTGTCTGAAACTATGTGATGATAGTCAACACAACATGGGACAATCATGTTTCTCTACATCTTTCCTCAATATTCCATTAAGAAGCATGAGTTATTAATTGCATACACTTTCCCATTCTTCTATATTTAGCTCCCAATTCAAGAAAAACAAACATCATTTTTTGGGGCCTGATTTTACACTTGTATCCCATTAGCATTGCCAACAAAATTTCAAGGACAAGGGCCTCCCTGGTGGCGCAGCGGTTGAGCACTGGGTTGCGAAGCTGCCTGCAGCCTCTGCAGCACCGGTTCGATCCCGGCTGCTCCCCGGCCACCGGAGGAGGGTCCCACATGGCGCGCAGACCTCTCCTGCCACCTGCTGCTCCCCTCAGCATTGTACTTCGGTCCTTCTGCCTGCTCTGCTCCCTGCTCTGGCTCTGGTGAATTCTCTCACCCTCCCGCGCTTCTGACTGTACCCAGTGCTTGTATAAATAAATAAATAAATCTTAAAAAAAAATCAGTAAAGAAAAAAATATTTAAAAAAAAAATTTTAAGGACAAGAAAATAGAAAAGTTAGAGCTGAGTTTTCTTTTCTCATAGTATTCCCAAGTGGGTGAAAGTTGGGATGCTGACCCAATATGAAGAAGAAAAGGATGTAACCCAAGGTGGCCTTCTCTATCTTGGCCACACAAATGAATTTCCAAAGATGACTCCATGCATTCAGACAAAGCACATCTCCACTTGCTAACCATTATTCAGCAACAGCCTCAGCATGACCTCATCCTTGAGGAGTTACTGAATGTCACTGGGGAAATATATGTCATTTATATGCATAAAATAGCTATTGACATTAGCTCCATGGGAGAGAAGCAGTCAGATAATTTCATGATTGTTGGCCCTCACTGCCTCAAGTAGACAGTTGAGGGGATCTAGGTTTGGGTCTGCATCTGCAGCCAGGACTTGGACTTGGTGCAATGTGTATCATTATTTGAAACAGTGATATACAGCACAGTCTTCCTTATGTCATCATAGATCTTAGAAATGTGGTCAGCAAGCAGAGAATTGACATCAAAACCATTTCCAATGAGCAGTTCTAGGCACTGTACATGTTGTCCACATTTTGCTGAGTGAACTGGTGATAATCCACTTTCCTGGATAGCATTTTCAGACATTACCGGGATAAGATATTTCAGTGCACTACAGGAAAATAAAGGTCCAATAACACATGGTGGGATGAAAATCAAGAAATTAAATAGGGCCTCTCCTGGTGGCGCAGGTGGTTGAGCGCAGCGCTGTGAAGCTGTACGCAGCCTCTGCAGTGCCAGTTTGATCCCGGCTGGCCAGCGAGGGTCCCACATGGCACAGCAGACCTCTCCTGTAGCACCTGCTGGTCCCCTCAGCAGTGTATTTCGTCAGTCTGCCTATTCTGTTCCCTGCTCTGTCTCTGGTGAATCCTCTCACCCTCCCATGCATCTGGCCTGTACCCTGGTTTTTGTATAAATAAATAAATAAATCTTTTAAAAAAGAGAGAGAAATTAAATAAACCAGCTTTCTCACTAGACAAGTGAATGCAGTTGATTGTTTCCTATATTGTCCCTAGATAATCTTATACAAAACATTTAACTATTGCCCATTAGCTTACCACTATTCAGCTTAGTATAATTTAGAGTAATTTTGATTCATCTTCGCATTCTAAATATGGGCAACATACTGCTCTTTTATATTTGGTCTTAGAATTGTGGTTCTTCAGGAACCATCCCATCTTCTGACTCTTTTCTGAGGAAGCAACCAGTGCTATTTAATTAAAAGTATAAAAGAAATGTAAATCCATCTGCTATCATGGAAGGATGCTGGACCATTAGAGTAATGAAGTTACTGGAAGACAGAGCTGGAAGTGACCTTGGACATTACTCAGTCCAAACTCCTCATTTAACAGAAGAGCAATATGAAGTCTGGAGAGGTAAAATGACCTGTCTAAGGTCACACAGATAGATGTAGATCAAGGACTAGAATGTAGGCTATTTGAATTCTCATTCATTACTTTCTTTCATTGCTTCCTGAGCAGTCTATCCTTTAATATTTCCCATGTGTCTCCTCTCTGCTTCTGTAAAACTTGCGACTGAATTATTAATCACAAAATGAATCTTTATTATTCCATTAACCTTGCATCAGTCCAATTGAGATAACTTGCCACAGCCTGTGATAAAGTTGTGAATTTCACACTTACCTGATCAACTAGCCATGTAGAGAACCACAGGCAAGGATAATTTGATCTCTTGTACCTAATTCAGAGCAACCATGTGTGAATTTATGAACACTGGGAGCAAGTCCAGGTAAACTTTAACAGCATGTCATTAGCGTCAATTATACGTCATTGGTCACTTAACGTAGCCAATGTGGCCACTCAGAGTGATAAAACCTCTTTCAAAGTTCTTCAACATATGAAATATATAATTGCCCCAAACCATACTCTCATAGTGTCATGATGCATAGTTTAATATAATGATTATAGACTTTTATTGATGTGTTAGTTGTGGCACATTTTGCAATTAAAAAAATGTTTCAACCTTTTATTTGGAACAAAGAAATAAATTTAAAATGAATTTTTTCTATCCAAGGATACATTTGAAGTTATACTATAATATCCATAGGTGTTGGTACATAATTAGAGTAATACAGAAATTTTGTCACAAAACCCTTTGCCAAGGGAAAAATATTTTGAAATCCTGTAGTTTTTTGTTAAATACATTAACAAAAAAACCAGAAAAGCACACTTGGGTGGCTTGTGCATAATTCTCACTTACAACTTCTTTTCTAAAAGAAAGACATTTCACGATAAAACTAATATATGTTTCATGTGGAAAATTTTTAATAAAACACAAGACAATAAAAAAAAGGGAAAAATCAAGCATATACTAAAATAAGCAAAACTTGTGAATATTCTGCCCATTTCCTTTTGAATTTTGGGGGTAGTCTATGGAGACTTTTGTGATTTTGATATAGGCAATTTTGTTTTTCAATGGAAAATGATCATTCTATGACTTACTACTCACAGGTAATGTCCCATATAGGTAGTTCGGTGAATAGGAAGATGACCTGCTCTGCTAGGCACATTTCCATTTCCTCCATATTTCAGCAGGAGAGAAATGCAATTAGAATTGCCCCCTCCTGCTGTCTCAAAAACAGGGATGCCCCCATCATGCACCAGAACAAATACATCACCACCTGACAGTAAAATACATGTGGCATGCTGGGTAGATTGTCAAATAGTTCCATTAAAAATAAGCTGTTGCTTTCCTTTCTGGTTAAGGCTTAAATTATGAATTAGAAACATTTACATTCTCAATATTTTCACTAAACAACCATGAAGCATGTTTCATGTTATTTGAAAATCTATGCATCACAAGATCAGCTGAGCAATGAATGGGTCAATTTCTAAGATCAAAAAATGGTCCCAGGAAAAGGGATCCTTAGATCCTCACATGCAAAGATTGTAACAGGGTGGTCCCCAGGAAAGGGGGAGGTTCCAGCTTCCCTGCTCCACCTGGGGCAGGGAAGCTGGAACCTCCCCCTTTCCTGGGGACCACCCTGTTACAAGATGACAATCAAGACTTGATTTCATTTCAACAAATATTGATCAGCTTCCTTCTATGTGCAAACACTCTGTGTTACCCAGCAAAAGATCCAAAGATGAACAAGTCTCTCTTAAGAAGCTCAGAGGGGGAATGAAACAAAATATCATAAGAGATATATAAAACATATCTCTGCCTCATTCTGTGAGACTGTGTAATAGTCAACTGACAGCAGGAGGAGAGGGCACCATGCAGGGAAAGCAGTCTGTATATGAATATGGTTCTTTCTGCTGCTGACAGCGAGAGCTAAGGGCAAGCTAATGAGCTCTATGAACCTCTATCTCCTCATCTGTTAACCAGGCTAATACAAACCCTTACATAGAGGGTTTATGTGCTAATTAAGAGATTCCACTGCAGGGGCCTCAAAAAATGCTATTCTTTCCCTCACAAAGGATACTTGTGGTACTTGCCTTTAATTACAGATGAGGAAATGGTGGACCAGAAGTTTAAGCCTCTAGGCTATTGTCAGAGTATGAGTGTTTGGCAGAAGCCAATTTAAGCATTGGGCCTCTTAATTCCTGGATCTGTAGTTGTGTAAAGACTTGAAAGAGGGCCTCCCTGGTGGCACAAGTGTTAAGCATGCACTATGAAGCAATCCGAAGACTCTGCAGCACGAGTTTGATCCCCAACCTGCCAGGGAGCAATCCACATGGCACAGCAGACCTCTTCTGTCTCGCCTGTTGCTCCCCTCAGCAGTGTACTTCAGTCAATCTGCCTGTTCTGTTCCCCACTCTGTCTCTGGTGAATTCTCTCACTGCCCACACCTCTGACCTGTATGCATAAATAAATAAATCTTAAAAAAAAAAAAAGACTTGAAAAAATGCAAAGGAGGGAACCATCACAATCTGTTGGGGAGAATTAGGTCAAGTTTCAAGGAGGAGTCTCAAGAGATACACTTTCAATTGAGCTGGATGGCATTCAAATCAGGACAAGGACGTGACCTCAACCCAGACCGTGGGCATGAGGGGTGTGTTAGCTGGATTACAGGATATGTTCGGCGTCGTGAGGGATAAGTCTGAAGAGACAATTCAGGATGATGCAGTGGGAGCCTGTGTCTGATTTGGTGGGCAGTAAGGAGCTACTGAGGGTTTTACGGATCATTTGCATGATTATAGTTGCCCCTTAGGAGGAGGAGGTGGGGTGCAGTATGCAGCACAGATTCTCTGATGGGGAGACTGGAAACCAGGAGAGTGGTTAGGAAACAACTGTGATGGTCCAGGGAAGACATGAGACGCAGATCAGAGGGAGGGCAAGGTGGGAACAGAGACACCATAGCACCCAGCAACTGCCCGGATTTGGAAAAGAAGGTGGTGAAAGAGAGATAAAGGTTAGTCTTCACTGAGTGGAATTATTATGTCAAAAGTGTGAAAGAACACAAGTTCAGTGTAGGAGAAGGTGCGTGTAAGACCCTGGTGAGCCATCTCTGTGAAAGCAGATCCATCACAGAGAGGGTCGACAGAGCTGCCTTGCAGATTTGTAGATCCTGGTGTACAGAGTTCAGCGGAATTGTGGAAAGGGGTTCTGTGGGGGGACAGCCAGGGGGAGAGGGTACAGAATCATTCAGGAGAGGAAGACGACCTAGTGAGGAATGAAGGAAAGAAGCCCAAGAGGTAAAAGAAATATCAGGAGGGCCTCCCCCGTGGCGCAGCGGTTGAGCGCTGGGCTGCGAAGCTGCCCGCAGCCTCTGCAGCACCAGTTCGATCCCCAGCTGCTCCCCGGCCACCAGAGGAGGGTCCCACATGGCGCGCAGACCTCTCCTGCCGCCCGCTGCTCCCCTCAGCAGTGTACTTGGGTCCTTCTGCCTGCTCTGCTCCCCGCTCTGGCTCTGGTGAATTCTCTCACCCTCCCGCGCTTCTGACTGTACCCAGTGCTTGTATAAATAAATAAATAAATAAATCTTTAAAAAAATATGTATATATATATAAAAAAGAAATATCAGGAGGTGCAATTCCTTTTTGCACACCGTTGTGGATTAGGTGCTTCAACACATCATAGTGACCGTACCGGGAGGCAACACTCCAAGGTATGCTCCAGAGGTGTTCCTCAGGTGGGCATTGCCTCTGTGACTCTGTAGCAGAGCTGCGATATCTTTGGGCCTTGTCTGGCTGCTTCATGCATTGCTGACCTTCGCTTGCTGCAGGGCTGGTCAAGGCTGCTGTTGTGTTTACTGAGTGCAGTCACTGTGTTGTAGGAGCCCTTTGGTACAGCTGGAAGGTGATTTAAAAAGAGTAGTCACTGTGGGTAAGCGCATTAAGACAAATACCTCAGAGGGTATTAGGCTACTTAACAAATGTACTATCGATATAGATATTAACTCTTCCCTTGTACAAAAGAATGCTGGGGTTTTTTGCATACCCTTTTTTTTTTTTTAAGATTTATTTATTTATTTATACGAGCACTGGGTACAGTCAGAAGCACGGGAGGGTGAGAGAATTCACCAGAGCCAGAGCGGGGAGCAGAGCAGGCAGAAGGACCGAAGTACACTGCTGAGGGGAGCAGCGGGTGGCAGGAGAGGTCTGCGCGCCATGTGGGACCCTCCTCTGGTGGCCGGGGAGCAGCCGGGGATCGAACCAGCGCTGCAGAGGCTGCGGGCAGCTTCGCAACCCAGCGCTCAACCGCTCCGCCACCGGGGAGGCCCTGCATACCCTTTTTTTTTAAAAGATTCATTTATTTTTATACAAAAACTGGGGTACAGGTCAGAGGCGTGGGAGGGTGAGAGTTCACCAGAGACAGAGCGGGGAGCAGAAGAGGCAGACGGATGGAAGACACTGCTGTGGGGAGCAGCAGGCGAGGCCCGAGAGGTCTGTCGCGCCATGTGGGTTTCTTTCTGGCCAGCCGGGAATTGAACCCGCACTGCAGAGGTTGTGGACAGCTTCACAGAGCTGCGCTCAACCCGCTGCACCACCAGGGAAGCCCCTACATGCCCTTTTAAAAAAAGATTTATTTATTATGCATACAAAATCTGGGGTAGAGGCCAGAAGTGTGGAAGGTGAGAGGTTTCACCAGAGACAGAGTGGGAGCAGAACAGGTGGATTTACCTAAACACACTGCTGAGGGGAGCAGCAGGCAAGGCAGGAGAGGTCTGCTGCACCATGTGGGTCACCTCCCTGGCTGGAAATTGAACTCCTGCTGCAGTGGCTGCGATAGCTTCTAGCTTCGTAGTGCTGCATGTTAACCCCTTGCGCCACCAGGGAGGCCCCTGCTTACCCTTTCTATAGCTCATACTTTGAGTGTGGAGTGTCAGTGTGCAAGATCATACTGTCTTTTCCTTAAGACCTCGATTTGAGGAGGGGTAAGAATTTCATGGAGAATAGTGTCCATTGAGTGTTGTGTGTTCTTTTTCTAAATGTTAATTTGTTCATTAACAAGATGAAAATAGCATCCATCCACTGTTAGGTTATAGAAATTAAATAATGTATATAACACACTTAGTACACATTTAGGAGTTCAATAAATATTATATCATTTCATCACTTCTAGGATCCTGGAGTCACATGAGTAAATAATGTTTACCAAGTTTCCCACCCCCACTTAGAAAGAGTCCAGGTCCCCCAACAACCCCCACCCACCCCCAACATAGCAGTATTAAAAGAATTTCTCTTTCCCATGCTCCTAATGGGAGGTTGGCAATAGGGATGTTTAGAATCTAGGTAAGTCAGTTGTTCTAAACAGGTAGAGTATGTGACAGCTAATGTAAATCAGATGTCTCTCTCCCCCTTGGTTTATTTCTAATAGCCGAACTCACACTGTTAAAAGATTCTTTCCTTTAGATTATTAAGTGATTGCTCTAGTTTAGACATAAATACTTTTCTCTTATCAGTAAGTAAAATCTTAAAAAAAAAAAAACAGTGGGCAGAATACCTCTCTATACAAGGAGATAAATACAGTTACCCTCATTTAATTCCTTCCTTCATTTATTAAAGTAATATATGCCAGCTATGTGGAAGGCCTAGGCACTGTGGACAATGGGAGAAAGACAGACTTGGATCTCACTTGTGGAATTTACAGTCTAGACAAGAAGCTTCTACTCTGAAGGGAGACTTTTTCAGTCCGGGCCTTTGCTGGGAGAGGTAGGATATGTGGAGCCATGCAGAACATCTGGAGCTAGGAGGCAGACTGCAGAAGGACCTAAGGCCAAGTTAAGGGGAAGGGGCTCCAACAGACATAAAAGGGGAACAAAGACATACTGGCTACTTCATTTGGAGGCAGGCGGGCAATTTGCAGTGAATTTTCAGCTTTTCTCCTGCTCACTGTCTAAAGCAGAATCTGTTGACAAATGCCTTTCTCTGAATTGCCCACCTGCCAGTGGCAGCTCTAAATATAGTAAATTACCTCATCCTAGCTGCTGTTATTGCAGAGCAAACATCAATAAGTTAAACAAACTAAGAGCTATGTGACCTCATTTATCTTCTTATTCCCATTGCTTCCATTTTCTATGTAGGAAAAAAATGTATTAAAGTGATGAACCTCTTCTTGAATAATCTGTTTTCCTGTCCTCTGACTCAGAAGCATATTGATTAGAGATATTTGTCTTTCTTCTGAAAATAACAGCATACATGGACTATATTCAGCTTTACATAGCATTAAAAACAAATCTTTACTTGCAATTTAGTTTTTGGAACTAATAAGAAATTTTATTTCCCATAGAAATAATAATGTAAATCACGGAGCACCATCCTAAGTTAACCCACAACACATTCTTAAACAAAAAATTATAGAAATGATGAAAACTAATAGGGTATGATATTCGTGTAACATAACTACGTAAAATATACATTGAGTAATTTATATATTCAATAATAATGGTTAAAGAGAACCAAGTTTCACTTGAAGGGTTAGGGAATTAGATGGAAAAAAAATTGGAAGTCTTTCCATAGATTATAAGCACTTTTGAAAATTTTATAGTTTGCTGGCACTTTTCCTTTTAATTTTCTTTTTCTTCCTTTTCTGTATATATGTGTTTTCTTATGTAATTTTCTTATTATTAGCTAGGAATTAGTTCTGACTCAAATGATATGCAGAGAAGACGCTTTTCAGAGGTATCTGGACAAGGATTGGAAGATTGAAAAAGGTGAGAGAGTGAACAGGATATATATTGATTTTTGAGAAAGAAAATGTAGGAAGTAAAATTAATTGATATGCAAATGGCATAGGTTGTGGGGAAATGTGAGAGGCCGTGGAACTGAGATATTGTGTCAGAAATTTCTCCAGGCTCCATCTGCATTCTGGGTCCCACAGGCCAGGATAATCTTGTGACTATCCAACTGGGAGAGGTGACACCAACTTCAGAAGGATGGGCAGTAAAGGAGTCTGAGTACAAAACAGTAAATACCCTTAGTAACTGTCAGATCATCACAAATCAGGTATCTCCCTCCCAGCAAATGTGTGTAATATGACTGCAATACATCAAAGTACCACCAGTGGGCCTCCCTGGTGGTGCAAGGGGTTAAGACGCAGCACTATGAAGCATAGCCACTGCAGCAGGAGTTTGCTCCCTGGCCAGGGAGGTAACCCACATGGCACAGCAGATCTCTCCTGTCTTGCCTGCTGCTCCCCTCAGCAGTTTCAGTAGATCTGCCTGTTCTGTTCCCCACTCTATCTCTGGTGAATCCTCTAAGCCTGGCACCTCTGGCCTACACCTCAGTTCTTGTATGCATAAATAAATAAATCTTTAAAAAAGAAGTACCACCAGCAAGGGCCAGATGGCTGATGAGGAAGAAGGACCCTGGAGAGGTATATTCCATAAATAAAGACAAAGATGATGGCACAGGACTAAGAAAATAAAAATGTGTTTTATTATCTCCCTCTGTGATATCTGGTCAATTATCCTAGGCTCCCTCCTCTTCCTCCTCGTCTTTTTTTTTTTTTAATTTTTATTTATTTATTTATACAAGAACCAGAGTACTGGCCAGATTCGCAGGAGGGTGACAGGATTCACCAGAAACAGAGTGGGGAACAGAACAGGCAGACGACAGAAATACACTGCTGAAGGGAGCAGCGGGTGAGACAGGAGAGGTATGAGGTGCCATGTGGGACCCTCGCCAGCTGGCGGGGGTCAAACCGGCGCTGCAGAGGCTGCAGACAGCTTCACAGCACTGCGCTCAACCGCCTGTGCCACCAGGGGAGGCCCTTCCTCCTCTTCTTATTGCCACACACAAAGTTATAATGACTCCCCTCTTCTGAGCATACATCATGTGGCAGGGGGAATTATATATTTACATTTTCTCTAATTTTTATGACAATGCTGCATGATGGGCATTGTATTTCCATTTTACACTTGAGAGAACCGAGGCCCATGACTGCAATCTCGTAGCTAGCATTTAAATCCACAGATGTCAGGTAGGAAAGTCCAAATTCTTACTCCACCATCTTACATCCTTAAAAGAAAGGAAATGTTATGTCTGGTCACTTGGAGTAAAATCTCTTCTCTCTGGGCTTCCACAAACAGAACTGCCAATTCTTCTTGGTCAACTAACAATGATATACACAAAACTGAGAAGAAGCTGATAAATGACTTCTTCAGGTTTGTGTTTCCTTCTGATATTTTCTTTAGGTTTCCTTTTGGTCATTGTGAGAATCCCCTTATGGGTGCTATATAATAATCTTTTGGAAACTGTTAACTTGAGAGATAATACAAGATGAAAAATTAACAACTACCTACCAAAAATCTTTACATTCAAATCAACTAATTCATAATATATACTAGCTTTTGATCACTTTTAGGTGGATAAACACATTTTAGAATTTGTGTTCTATATTCTTAGAATAATGGACAGGGTGAATAGAACAAAACATGCTGATTTTTGTACTCTGTTGAAAATATGGGTATTTCCTTTTCCAAATTCCAAATGATCTTTGTTTTGCTTTTTCCTTATGCTTATTATATTCATTGGGAACTTTCAAGACTTCTACATTTTTCTTTCAAGTTTAATCAAAGGGATTTTATATTCTCTTTCCACCTAGAACAATTTCAAGTATTTGTTGAATGGCTCCTTCAATGGGAGCCATTCTTTTCTATCAATTTCATCCAATGCATATTTATATTTCACATAATTCCTGGAGCTCAAAAATGTTACCTGAATAAAAAACATGGGCTGAAAACAAATATCTGCCTTGGCCGGTGCATTCCAGTGCAGACAATATACCCATTTACCTTGTTGGATGGCCTTCACAAGCTTTTGGTTTTATTTACTTCCTGGTACAAATCTAAAAGAGAAAGAGATAGAAGCCATATTTATCAGAGCGGTGTACTTCAAAGGAATGAAATTTTTCAATATACTTGAGGTTTAGTACATAATTTTAATAAATAAGATCTATAGGAAATATATACAACTGATTTTATCCACCTAAAATATAAAAATATCTAAGAGATACAGAATATATTTCTGATAATTTTACTTAGGAATATTAGTGAAGATGACTTAATATTAGATTACAACACTGTATCAGAAATTAGTTCTCAGCAATGAAGAGGACCATACAATTCAAGTCAGAATCAGAACAGCTACTGTGATATAATCCAGGGGAAACCAGTTAGCCTTTCTGGGTGGTGTTTTCTTCATCTGTAAAAAAGATGGGATTAAGTAGGAAGATCTCTAAGGTTTCGTTCAACTTTAAAAGCTCTATGTTTATAAGTGTTTGTTGCTTTGGACTTAATCATTGCTAATTAATAATTTCTTGGGCGCTCATGATCCACATGCAAATTAGAATCTTTAATCAACTGTTCCCAAGTAAAAACAGGCTGAGCACTTACTGAACAAACTCCCACTCACTGGCCCAGCAGGAACTGAGTTCAACCCTCCTGGCAACTCTCTGGTGTGTGTTTATTTAAAGGAAACAGGGAATTTCATAATAAATTAACTCTATTAAACAGAAATATCACTGTCATTCTAGGCTTGAGAATGCCTTCCTGGGAACTCTAAGTTTCTAAAATCTGTTGAAGATAAGGGAAAAATGATAGAGAACAGAAATTTAAATATAATATGCCTATTTTTGAAGGCTCAAAGGCATAATTTTGTAGCATTGAATCTATTCAAAAGTCACAACTGAATTACAAAGTTGAGAATTCTAAATATTATAGAATGTAAAGATAAACTAAAGTTTACTTTTGTTAAAATTATTTTTTGTTATAAAGTGTTGATCTAGACTAAAATCTACTTTATAGTTTCTGACTCTAGAACTCCTGCTAACATAAAACATAAATTTTATGTATAATTTGTTTTAATTGTTTCCTGGAAGAGGAGTCAGGAGACTTTGTTCATCTTGTGTTACAACAAAATGAATGCCATAAAGCAATTCTGTTGGGAACAATTTGAATGTTACCTTTTGGGATAAAAGACACAGTAGATTCTTGAACTTGAGCACCATATCATAAATTGTAACTTGGTCTTCTTCAAGGATCTTTGGTAGTATCCGTGTCTGGATGTAACTTTGAAAGAGGCACTTTTTTTATAATGAGCAAATGACAACAGAACAGCATAGTGTTAACATGAAAGATGTATCAATGAAAAACTAAAATGCATTCTCTTGCCTGCATTTAACAAACACAGATACAGTTAACCTTGTAATCTGTATTATATATAAAGTCCATTTTAATTTTTGAAAACATTCCAAACCTGCTCTTTGGGTGTCTACATTTTCTAACTTTTGATTTTCTTTTCAGTAGTGCAATAATTGGGCTTAATCACTTTTTTCCCATGCTTCTGACTTACACTAATGTTATTTTTTTTTAAGATTTATTTATTTATGCATGTAAGAACTGGGGTGCAGGCCAGAGGTACAGGGGGTAAGAGGATTCACCAGAAACAAAGTGGGGAGCAGAACAGGTAGATCTACTGAAATATACTGCTGAGGGGAGCAGCAGGCGAGACAGGAGAGGTCTGCTGTGCCATGTGGGCCAGCTCCCTGGCCAGGTATCGAACTCAGTGCTGCAATGCTGAGGATAGTTTCATAGTACTGAGACTTAACCCCTTTCGCCACCAGGAAGGCCCATACTTATGCTAATTTTAATCCAAGGGTCTTCTCAACACACTACTTTATACTGCCACAGCACACTTGAAAACTCAAACTGAGCCATTCACGTTCTCTACTTTTATTCTATGTCTGTTGTGCTTGTTTATGTGCTATTTTATTCCAACAATGGTTTGTTAGCCTTGAACTGTATTCTTTTTTTTTTTTTTTTGCTCCTAAGAGATTACACTCTGAGATGAAGAAATCTACCTCACTCATCTCTGCAGCCCCTACAACTTTAAAAATGCTTGGCACAGAGAAGCTTCTTAATGAATGTTTATTGAATTAGAGAGAAAGGAACATCACTAATGTAGTGGCTGAGACTTGAACTCAGGAAATTTGATAGCAAGTAGAGAAGACATTCAGGAAACTTTAAATAGAAGCACCTGAGAACTTCAATCTCTGTTCTCCCTGAGGCTCTACTGCCTAACCTCACATATGAAGTGAACAGTCTTCAAAATTCCAAAGCAGGGGCCTCCCCGGTGGTGCAGTGGTTGATCGCTGGGTTGCGAAGCTGCCTGCAGCCTCTGCAGCGCCGGTTCAATCCCCGGCTGCTCCCCGGCCACCGGAGGAGGGTCCCACATGGCGCGCAGACCTCTCCTGCCGCCCGCTGCTCCCCTCAGCAGTGGTCTTCGGTCCTCTGCCTGCTCTGCTCCCCGCTCTGGCTCTGGTGAATTCTCTCACCCTCCCGCGCTTCTGACTATACCCAGTGCTTGTATAAATAAATAAATAAATAAATAAATCTTTAAAAAAAAAAATTCCAAAGCATTAAAATAATACTACCAAAAACAAAACAGATTCACTTGGAGAACATTTTCACTGACTAGCTCAATTGGGTATGAGCAGACGATATGCTTTCTGGAAACTCTAGGAAATTCATTTCTATTGACTTGTGCTACCTGTACTTCTGGAACAAACTTTCCTGATAACTTGGCAGATGAGCATCCTTAATGCAGCTAGGAATGCTGAAGCTGCTACCATAGGGAGAGGCAAAACTAGCTTAATTAAGTGAGGCTTAATTATGGGAACTGCCAGCAAGTCAATCGATATCTGGCAAAAAATAGCTAGAGTAAACATGAACTGCTTTTGAAGAGTCAAACAGAAATGTTTCTAGACTGACTTACAGAATTTATTGATGACTATTTCACTTTCCCCTAACTCATCCATTTATTTGGCCAAATCAGATGCACCCAAACGGTTGTGCAGGAACCATTCCCTAGTTGAGGAAATCAGGCCAAATCTCCCTTCACCAACCTGTGCATGCTGGCAAAGTACTACACACCCCAAGGAAGCGGTATCATTTCCTCTTTTGTGCCAAAGAGCTTATGGCCTGTGGCATTCCTGATCTGAATTGAGGGTTCTTTAACAAAGGAAGTTAAACAAAAGAGGCTTAATTATTCAGTGTTTTGGATAATGAATGAGAAGTGATAGACATGACATCATTTACTGTCTTAGTCTTGGCCAAAGTCAAAGTGGAAGTGTCTCCAGATTTGGTTACACCCCTTCAGGAAGGAAGATGCTATGGCTGTGATGTTCATGTATCTTTTCATGGTTACTATTGGGTCCTCAATATTTTGCTTTCTCAGTCATCATAATGGGAGAGTTATAAGGTGAAACTAGCCTCAGAGCACCATTTGAACAGTTGAGATACAGACCATCTCAACTCCATCCCCGGACCAGAGGCCAGCCCTCTTCCTGGAGAACAGATTCTCCATTCCTTCCTGTGACACACATTGCATTTCTAGATGATCCTTCCTAATAACTATCCATTATAAGTCATAATTCTTGACTGGCCCATCTACTCTAAAGATGATGACTTGAAAAAGTAGATTATTTCCCATTGGCTTATTTCTTCCAAGTATTAAATTAGAGGATGGAGTGTCCTTCATGACTATCCTGTCAATTACTTCTTTTTAATCTAGAGAAAAAAAATAGTAAGTATTGAAATCAAAATAATTCTAAAACTAGGTTGGCTAACCATTGTGAAATTATATTTAATTAGTAGCACTGTTCAAACCAAAATGTATTATCTCTATGAAATTTTACATTGTGTGTTTTTTTCGAGGGCAAATACAACAAGAACAGCACTTTGTTGAGAATTTTCTAAATACTTGCTTTCTTTTGAAATTGACTCTTTGTCTCTTCTTGCTGTTCATGTTAAAGTCAAATTTATAAGGCCGATTCTATACATGCTAACAGCCAAGATCCCTGACTTATGCACGGACTGCATACAAACTCATAGTTTTGGACTAGTGGCCTTGGAACAGAATGGAGAGAATACTGGCATGTTTGGAGGTTGTCCTCCAGTTAGTAACAGCATTCCACTAAGCTTGCTCCCTCCTACCATGCTATTTTAGTCTCCTCAAGAGGTCCAAATTGCCCAGGGGGATCCCATTCACCAAAAAGATTCAAATGGTAATTTGCTTTTCATGTATTGTTTACAGGTTCATTGTCTACCTCCTTGCTCTAGAATGTAACCCATTAAGAGCAAAGAAAGAGTCTATATATCCAGCAAAATCTCTGTCTCATGGTTCATGATCTCTAAATGTGTGTTGAATGAAGGAAAGAATGAATGAGTTAATAAATGAACACTGGGCCTCCCCTGGTGGCGCAGCGGTTGAGGGCTGGGCTGCGAAGCTGCCTGCAGCCTCTGCAACACCGGTTCGATCCCCGGCCACCGGCGAGGGTCCCACATGGCGCGCAGACCTCTCCTGCTGCCCGCTGCTCCCCTCAGCAGTGTACTTCGGTCCTTCTGCCTGCTCTGCTCCCCGCTCTGGCTCTGGTGAATTCTCTCACCCTCCCGCGCTTCTGACTGTACCCAGTGCTTGTATAAATAAATAAATAAATCTTTAAAAAAAAAAAAAAGAAAAAAAAAACTAGCAATTTAAAAAAAAATACTTTAAAATAAATGAACACTAACATCATTTAGGCTCTGCTTTATTCTTATAGCAGATGATTCTCCTCAGGTATGCAGTCTCTTCCAACTTACAAATCTGATGACTCACTCTGCTTGGCTTCATTTTTTCTTACTTTTGTGTCTTTATGTCTTTTTCCTCTTCATTCATAAGTCCCTCCCAGCTGTTCCACAGCCATGGTTCACACTGCTTCAAGTTCAACTCCAGAGATTGTTCCTATGGAAGCCATTGCTGAAATTCTCCAATTCTTCTCTGGCCTTCCTTATCTGTGAATATCTCCTCTTACACCAATTTTTCAACATCTGGATTTACACTCATTAGGTATTTGCTTTGCAAGTTCTTCACATATCCTCACTTGGGCTATTATTCTTCTGAGAGGAAAAAAACTCTATTTTTCCTTAATGTCCTTTCTCTCCACTTCTACTACTAGTCAAATGGCAGTTCTTAGTGGCCAACAGGAAAAAAAAAAAAATGTTGACGCATTACTGGGGACAAGCACTGAGTCCTCAGCACAATTAGATGATGAAGTTAAACCTGTGGCATGGCCTGTTGCCTTTCTCACTAATATCACTGTGTTCAGAGGAGGAATGCATGGCTCTGGAATTAGTAATGGGATACAGAGCCTTTCACCTACTTAAATCACAGGCTTAACTCTAACCCTGTTTGAAATGTGGGCTTCTAGTATGAGAGACACCATGGACTCCTTTGCGAAATTGAGTTGAGCTGTGGAAAGCGGTTTTTTTTTTTTTTTTAAATGTCACTTTACTTACCATCCAGAAGGAAACAATTTAAGATTCTGAACAGTGTTGCATCCCTAAAGACAGCAGGGCAGAAAAGGTGGAAAACAGCTGCTTCCTAACACAAGCTGCCTTAACCTTTTACTAAAGCTCGTGATAAAGTGAAGTTCTGTTGCAGGTGAACTAAGGTGTCAGGCATCAAGATGCAATGAGAAGGGCAAGAGGAAAGTTACTTGTCTGTAGATCACATGTGAAATGACTAGGACTCAATCCCAACTGAAGGCGGGCATAGTCCACTGGAAATTATTTCAATAAAACATCAACCGGGAACTAAGGAAAGACTCTTTCTAAATCATAGTTTGTCATTTAACACTCAGTCTTTTTCTTTCTTTTTTTTTTTTGGCAACATATTTTTTTTTAAGATTTATTTTATTTATACAAGAGCTAGGGTACAGGCCAGAGGTGCGGGAGGGTGAGAGGACTCACCAGAGACAGAGTGGGTGGCAGAACAGGCAGATGGACTGAAAGCACTGCTGAGGGGAGCAGCAGGCAAGTCAGGAGAGGTCTGCCTTGCCATGTGGGTATCTCCCCGGCCAGCCAGCACTGCAGAGGCTGTGGACAGCTTCATAGCACTGTGCTCAACCTGCTGCGCTACTGGGGAGGTCGAACACTCAGTCTTGTTCTGGTGAAGCCCACCAGTGAGATTTAGTTATTCTCCATTCATAGCTGATTTGTAAAATAATTGAGACAATCATACTGCATAGTTAGCCTTTTCTATTACTGCACTGGGTAACCTTGCTAAGGGTCAGAAACACATTTGATGAAAATGAATTCTCTTTCCAGAGGGATGCAGGCATACTCAAAATCTTGCATAAAATTTTAGGGAACTCCTGGATCCTCTGAAGTCCTTTCATATACTCCAGGTAAAGAGCCAATCAATTGAGGATTTCCAAATGCTAAATGTACTATTCAGACATCAGTCTTTATTAGCTCAACTTACAATGGGGTTGAATAAAATCATAGATTTAAACTGTGGGGAAAGGGAAAGTTTGGTTATCTTGTAAGTTTTAGAATATCCTGGGTAGTAATTAAAATGGTGAGTAAAATAACAGCCATAAATTATCTAGTCCTCACTTTGTTTCAAGCACAGTGCAAAGCATTTTATATATACAACCTTATTTTAAATCCTCACTTCAATTCTACTTTGTAGGTGTATAGTTGGTGCCTAAGTGAAAACTTCAGCTTTAAGAAGTTAAAAGACCCACCCACGTGTGGATAGAGCATGGAGTAGCTTCATTTTTAAAGTCTTTTCAAAGTTGCAGAAAAACAACCCACAGTCTGTTGTCCTTAAAGGAAAACATTCTGATCCTGCTCCTCACAGCCAGCTCTTGATGACAATAACTTCCAAAAATAAAAAATAGCTTCCAGAGACACATAAATCTTTATCCTTGGCTCAGTGCAATACAGCTTTGTGTTGCATAGGGTGGTCCGAGGTGCCCTAAACTTGCTTCCAGTCTGTATTTTTTTGGTCTTGAAATCTACACATTACTGTCTAAAAAAAATAGGATCAACATGCCAATAGGTGCCTGACTGAAGCAGTCGGGAGGTTGGGATGGTGGCGCAAGGCAGGATGCAGGCTTGAACTTTGTGAATACATGACCTCTCGCTGCCTCTCTGCCATCGTATTCTCCCCACAACCACACAGCCATGGTCCACACTGATATAGTACTATTGATATGTTTGGGAGACCCCTTAGAGCTTCCCTTGAAACATGGGGCCTCCCAAAGCATGGCCCAAAGTCCTTCTTATCCCTGAACAAAGGTGAATCTAACTTTGCTCCCTGTGACCCCTTTGGTTTACTTTTTATTGCATCCAAGCCTGGCTACACCACTCACACTCACACTTGTCTTGGACATAACAAAACCGAAACTATTTCTGTGGGCCCTGAAAATGGCTGGCCTTAAGAGTTCCCAGCGTGGACAGTTGCTTCCATGGTGTGAGGAAAAGCTTTGTGTCCATAAATATCACACTGCCCCCGCAGCTGTCACATCAGTGTAATTCTATTACATCAGTGAGAGAATCTGTATTTAAGGTTTATTGTTCTGTCTTCCCTAAGTGCCCTTTAAAATGCCAACAGTATCAGACTGGTCCCCAAAGTAGAACCAGAATCTCTTAGGCTAGTTACTAAAGTGGCATGAGATGAGGAAAGTGGCAGAGGGTCTAAGACTAAGGCCAGTAGGAGGTGATAAAAGGAGAGGAAAAGACAATATAGTAACACTTGGTTTTCTTCCTAGTTGAATACAAGGTCAGCTTAAATCCAAACTCACAGGTTCTGAAGGAGCAATGGTTATGCTATGTGGAATGTGGGACCCTGAGCCTGAGGAAATGTTCTTTTACTTTGTGTAGGGGCAGGATGGCACTGAGCAGGTTTTCTATGATCTGAGTAGACAGGGTAAAGGAGAGTCCTGGAGCCCTTGGTGGGTTTCTCAGGCTTTTATTGAGCTCTTACATGTAGTGTGGCAAACAGGTACACCGCAGGCAGGGGTGCCAGGAGGCCAGTAGGCCTCCAGGCCTCCCTGCAAGTCTTCACTCTGGGCTTCTCTCTCTCTCTTCTGGCTTTCTTCCTTCTCTCTCCCCCGTCTCTTCTGCTTCTCTTGGTGACTATCTCAATACTCTCCCAAGGCCCACAGAGGTGAATTAGACAGCTTACAACAATGTAACTACTGCAGGTACCCCATCAGGCAGGGCAATCCTAATGGTGGGAGGGCAGAAAAACCTGAAAACTATTTACTCTACGCTTTGGAACTGCTGTGGTTCTTGAGGGATGAGCTCACCTACAGGGGCCCCAGAGAAAACCATCAGAATCTGCCCTGCCTGAAGGAAGAGCAAGTATTAAAAGGGCATTTTAATGTCTTGGTTTAGTTAAGAAAATAGTTATTAGCTATCAAACAAAGCTAATTCCTATTCAATTCTTATTATTAAATGATGTTTACCTGGGTCATGCAAGCAGACTTCATTACCCAAGTTATTGTATCTGTTCACATGAGGCCATAATTTTAGTGTCCACTAATTATGAGTGGCAGCTCTTGACGAAGGTGAGACCAGTTATAAACAATAAAATTAACAACATAGCAACATTTTCTTTACACAACTAAGTTCAAAGGTGAGTAAAACATGTGGCTACATTAATTAGCTATAATTATAATAACAATGATCACTGGACCCTAATAAAAAACATTGTACACCCACATATAGATCTAGGTATAGATATACATCTACATGAATATCCGTACAATATACACTCTCCAAAAATATTTGTTTCTGGGCTTGATGTATTTCATTTGACATGACATTCAAATCTTTTTCCGTTTTAAACTCAAACAATAATGAGCCATTGCATTTCCCCAAATCTTATTTTCAAATCATACATAGGCTGTTGATTTCTTTCTGGTGGAGACAGATGAGTTCAAACCCTGCCTTCCTGGATTAACTGCCTCATTAACTGTGTCTGACATGTTGCAAGCAGGTAGTGAACATTACCTGCTATGACTCAGTGATTGAAAATCCTCTCAAATGGGGAAGCAGAATTCTAGAGCTTACTTGGTAGTTTTGGCCCTATTCCTCATCCTTGAATGATAATCTGACACAACCATTATTTTCTTTTCCTTTTTTCTAGAATCATCAGACTTCAGAGTTAAAGGCTATCAGGTAGCCACTTTATTAATATGTCTACTAACAGGTAATTGTCCGGCCTTAGCCTGAACAACAAAGAGACAGGAATCTTACTGTGTCCATCCACAGTCTTTCATCTTTGTCTGATTTTAATAATTAGGAAAAATATTTATGCCGAATTTACCTCCTCAAACCATTATTCTTTGAAATGCTACTTGTATTCCTGGGAGACATACTGAGAAAATGTTGTTTCTCTCCTACACCAGAGCCCTTAACGATTCGCAGGTTCTCCACATTGTCAGGTCTCCAAAGAACCTTCTCTGAACAACTGTTCTTATAATGTGGTTTCACCTCCTCCATCTTAATTGCCTTCTGTGAACAACGCATTTATCCATCTCTTTCTAAAAATTGCTCTGGACCATGGATTGTGATGGTAATCTGCAGTCAGATTCATACTTTAAGTGGGTATGACTCCTTCCTTTCTCTAAACATTGCAGCTCCGTTCATTTAGCCCAAGTTCTGATGGATTTTTGAGCTATCATGTTACAAACTTGGTTTGGATCCCGGTTTTCCCAAATTCTACATGATGTAATTTGGCTACATCATTGCTGTGTAGGACTTTATTTCATTCTATTAAAAATTCTTTTTTTTTAAGTTTTGAATCTTTATTCAAGTCTGCTAAGATCTAATACATTTTCTAGATCTCCAAGTATTGTTATTTTATTTGTAGATTTAATAAGTATGTCTTCTGTTTGTCCACTGATGATGATAAATGTTAAACAGAAATTGGCACAGAACAAGGCCTTGAGGTTGACATTGATCTATTATTTAACACCCCTCAAGAGAAGTTGTTTATCCAGTTACAAATCCTCCCAATGACACCACCGTTCGAGTATTAATGTCTTCTTTTTGATAACAAAGCTTCATGAAGAGATACTGTCAAATATCTTGTTGACGATAGAGGCAGAGTATCTACCATAGTACCCTTCTCTACTAATCAAAAAAAACAAAGGAGAGTTGGCACACCAATTCTTAGGGATTATTATTATTTTCCTAAGGATTTTTCACTATTTATTCATTCAAAACTCTCTATGCAATGTCTACTAGGGTTTGGATCCATGACCCTAGGGAGTTTGCTGCCTTTAAATAATTCATTCTAGACTGCTCCAGAAACACCAATATCTCTATTCCCTTCAAAAGTTGAGCACACAGCAAAAAAAAAAAAAAAAAAAAAAAAGTGTTTTATTGAATGTAATGATTACTCTAAGTAGCATCTATCAAGTGCTTATCTGTCACATGAATTAGTCTAAGTACATTAAAAAGATTATATGATTTAATTGTTACAACATACCTTCTCCCCACTTTACAGATGAGGATGTGGAGACATCATATAGTTAGGTAATTTGCCCAAGCCCACAAATCTAGAAAGTGGATAGAGATACAGATGTAAACCCAGTTATCTGACATTATAGGCCACAAAGGCTCAACCACTATCCTTGTAACTAGATGGTCCAGTATTGTGATGGAATTAGAGGTTTTCTAAAAGAGCTTAAGTCAACTAGCATATCATCAGATAACTCCAGTGGAAATATAAAGATTTTAGGCAAATTTTATGGTATTTCCATAAAAGCAACTGAAATATAAAATTGTGATATTTATGACAATAATTTAATGCTTTCAGCACCAAGCAGTGTTAGGGCTTCCTTGCACACATCACTGCATCTCACAGAGAGAACTTTAGATGTAGAAGATTCCTAAGAAGTTACCTATTCATTTAAGAACAAGATAGATGCTGGTCTAAGGTAAATTCCAAGGATTTTTGAATTTAATTTGCAGAAGCTAATTTCATTTCTATTGAGTTCTTAGATTCCATCTATTTTAAAGGAATTTAAAGACATCTTTTTGAACTGAACATAAAACACCCATATTTTGCAACAAATGATGAGAAAACCTTGATAGAAATTTATTTTAACTATTCATAAAAACCATTTAATTCTTTTTTTCAGAACCCAGGGTTAACTAAGACCCTTCTAGACTTTCACACTGTAACATGAATACTTCATATAAGCCTATTCATTCTTTATCTGTTTTATTCATGAACATTTTCTTATGCTTAGTAACTATGCAGTTTAGTTAATACTCTATAAGCAACAAAACGACCCTGAGTGGGCCTCCCTGGTGGCCTAGGGGTTAAGTTTCAGCACTATCTCTGATACTGCGGGAGTTCGATTCCTGGCCAGAGAGCTAACTCACATGGCACAGCAAAACTCTCCAGTCTTGCCCGCTGCTTCCCTCAGCAGTGTATTTCAGTACATCTGCCTGTTATACTCCCCACTCTGTCTCTGGTGAATCCTCTCACACCCCCACACCTCTTGCTTGCACCCTAGTTCTTCTACACAGGAAAAAAAAAAAAATTAACTCAAAATGACCCTGAGCCATGAGTAGTGAACCACAATATGCATGTCTGTCTTGTTTAAAATATCCCAGTACTAACTACCCAGCAAGCTAGTTGGTGAGGAACAGATCAAATATTTCATAATCTCACCTTTTGGAACGATCATCTTGTCATTCTTATCCAGGGCTTTGCCTTCCTAAACCAGAGGAAGTAACTTGGAGCCAATGTGTTCCTCTGTGTGTCTAAAATTAAGCACCCAGTTGGTGGCTAAATTAAGATCTGACCTTGCACAACTGAAACTTAAGCGGTTCCTGGCACCCAGTAAAGTATTACCCATGACTTCTCTAGACTCTCATCAAAAGGAACACAAGCCCACAGAGGTATAATAAGATTATCTGTGTCCTGATTGGTTCAAAGAGCCCTCAGGAAAACAAGTGATCTGCCAACTCAGCTGCTGGAGGAACAAAGCAAACCCACTTAAGTAGAATTAAAAAATATTTTTATATTAGTTGTTCAAGAGTCAAATCTGTGTATCTGCAGATTCAAATCCATTTTTAATCTATTTAACACACTGTTTCTTGTTCTTCATCTTTTAGACTCCTGTCAAATCTCATTAAAGACAATCTTCTTGTTAAATGAATTTCTCTCATTTGATTTGCATATCCTCGATGTCAGTCTAATATACAGATGGGGATATGAAATTCTGTGACCTCGAATCTGATAAAGAGTTTTTAGGTCAAGGTATGAAATACATATACTAAGAAAAAAATGAGTGGCAGATACAAAGCAAGCAGAAAACCAAGATGTTAATTAAGGGTGCACTGTTTATTTTCTATTAAAAAATGAAGTTCTGTATCTTACTGATTTTTTAATGAAAATAACCAGCCTTATATTTGTTGCGACATGGCTGTCCTGCGGGGGCTTCTGTCCCCACTTCTTCACTAGAACAACTCTTCCTAAGGGTGTCAGTGACTTCCTACTGTCTTATTTTCCAACCCCCCTGCTGGATTTGCTCCCGACTGTTTCCTGAAACTCTCCACTCCTTAAGTTTTGGGAAGCACTGTTTTATCCATTCTGTGCTTCTCATTCTTCGCTCCATTCTTTGTACTTGGTGTTAAAAGATGGATTGTAGTGAATTTGCCAGTTTTATTTCAAAATTGGAAAACTGTAAATGTAAAACCAAATGTCCTAACAACTCTTAAATAGTAAAGTGGCTGCATTTCGGTCATTCTTAGAGCAAACTCTGAGGAATACTTTATAACACTGTTAACTGTTACCTTGAAATAATCAAGGTTGAAGGTTAGATCATTATGCACATTTTATAAATTTTTTTAAAGATTTATATATTTTATATATTTATGCATACAAGAACTGAGGTACAGGTCAGAGTTGTGGGGGTGAGAGGATTCATCAGAGACAAAGTGGGGAACAGAACAGGCAGATTGACTAAAATACACTGCTGAGGGGAGTAGTGGGCGAGTCAGGAGAGGTCTGCTGTGCCATGTGGGTAGCTCCCTGGCCGGGGATCGAAGTCATACTGCAGTGGCTGCTGAAGCTTCACTGGCTGCGTCTTAATCCCTTGAGCCACCAGGGAGGTCCACATTTTATAAATATTAATCTAATTTAGAATGTTATAATCAGGCATTATGCTGTCCTTTCTTCAAGACTTTTGTGTGCCGCTGTGCAGGTTGTGCTCAGCTCAAGGATTCTTGGGTAAAAGGGCAAGAGGACCAAAATCCCTCCTCTTCTCTCACTGATCTGAGTACTTTGGTGAATGAATGGGTTGGACCCATGTAATGAAAGGGTTGAGAAGTTCTAAATAGCACAAAGGTGGTGCACCATGCAGTCCTGGTCCTGTGTTGGCACTAACTCACATTTAATCCTCCCAACATCCTTTCAAAGTAGATGTTTTATTATCATGGCCATTTTTCAAGAAGGAAGTTAAGGCTCAGGAGATGAAGCAAATTGCCTAAGTTCATATAGCTAGTGAGAAGCAGTACTAGGATGCCAATTTTGACAGCTTCAACCACTATGCTGAGGGTCTCCCAGCAGTGTGAGTTTGGATGTATGTGTGCAGGGGTGCTTACTAGCCCCATGCTGGAAGAGGGAGAGATGTTATGCAGTGTCTTGCTGCTACAGAGTAGTTCTTGCTAATATGGCCCTAAGCTGAGAAGCACAGAACTGCCCCGGGCCTGGTGACTTTTATCACAACTCCTCTGCCCAATGATTCAGACAATCCAACAAGTAACCAAACCAAAAACAAGCATTGCATTGAAGAGCTTGGGGGTGCCCTGCACCTCAAGACATCACCTGCTACCTGCACATAACTTGTTTGCCCTCTGCAAACATTCATCCCTCTGTGTCTTCTGTACCCCATCACCTGTCGCAATTGTCTTACTTGTGACTCCCCATTTCTACCTGCCAACTGCCTGCTAGAACTAGCTCAAACCTTTCTTTTCCAACCTTCTATGAAGGTTTCTTATCTTGTCAGAGCCCATTTCTTTTTCTCTTTTATTTTTTGTTTGCCTTGCACTCTAATTATTATGTACAGTTTAACATTGAGTTTTTATATGTAACCTCTGAGGATGTCTAACACAGGGGATTTGCATGATGCAGAAATACAATATACAAGAATTGAATTGAAAGCCTGGGGACCTAAAAAGCAGCAAGAGAAACCTGCAACTTCCCCCTATGTCTGGTGGTCTCGCTTGCACTAAATCTCTAAAAAGGAATTTCACAATATATGAAAAGATAAGTAAGGAGTCTTTAAGTAAATCCACCATGCATTGTATAACATAATAGGTTTGTTTTTAATAAAAGGTTAGTAAATAATTTAATTAGTGTGATTTGCCATAATTAATTCAGCTCCCAGGAGCTGAACAAGTTATAGATTTGCAAATCTCTTGGTACCAAGCAGGTTTCAGACTAGTTCTCTGAGTTAATTTTAACTTTCATTTGATTATGATAATCTATTAAGTCCTCTGGCTAAAAA